GGGGTTTCACCATGTTGACCAGGATGGTCTCAATCTCTTGACCTCGTGATCCACCCACCTCGGCCTCCCAAGGGGATATTTTTAAGACTGTATACATAGGCATTGCCTGCACCGACCTGGGCAGTACGTCCTCATTCTGCCTGTTCTGCCTGGCTCCCAGTGACCCCTTTTCAGTATTTTGTTCATTTTAAAGCTGAGACACCAGGTCACAATCAACCTCTTGGGCATTTTTTGTTTTTGTTTTTTTTGAGACAAAACCTCGCTTTGTCACCTAGGCTGGAGTGCAGTGGCATGGTCTGGGCTCACTGCAACCTCTGCCTCCCAGGTTCAAGCGATTCTCCTGTCTCAGCCTCCCGAGTAGCTGAGATTATAGATGTGTGTCACCATGCCTAGCTAGTTTTTGTATTTTGGATAGAGACAGGGTTTCACCACATTGGCCAGGCTGGTCTCGAACTCCTGACCTCAAGTGATCTGCCTGCCTTGGCCTCTGAAAGTGCTGGGATTATAGGCATGAGCCACTGTGCCCAGCCTTGTTTAATCAATTAATTAATTAATTTTATTTTAAAAATAGAGACAGGTCTTTCTCTGTTACCAGGGCTGGAGTGCTGTGGCGCAATCATAGCTCACTGCAGCCTCAAACTCCTGGGCTCGACCAGTCCTCCCGCCTCAGCCTCTCAAGTAGTTAGGACTATGGCCACACATCACCAGGCCCAATTAGTTTTTAAATTTTAATTTTTTGGTAGAGGTGGTGTCTTACATCTTGCCCAGGCTGGCCTTGAACTTCTGGCCTCAAGTGATTCTCCTGGCTCCATCTTCCAAAGTGCTGGGATTACAGGCATGAGCCATGGTGTCCAGCGTCTTTGGCAGCCACGTCTTGGTGACTGTTCTTGAGTCAGGTGACCATAAGGTCCAATCAGTGGAGGCTAGTGGGTCTGTGGGCAGGTATATGCCCCCCATGGCTGTGTAACACAAAACAAAACCAACTAGCAAAAGCCTCAAAGAGGGCTGTGCAGGTACTTCAAGGCTTGGAGCCTCCAAAAGGCTCAGTGGTATTGTCCCGAGACTATTCTTGGTGGGTTTTTGGGTTTCTCTGTTTTGATTTTGTTTCTGGTTTTGTGTGTGTGTGTGTGCATGCGCGCGTGTGTGATGGTGGGAATGAGTTACACAGAGCCTGGTTGTCCCAGGAGAGGCACATGGGGGCCTGTTTTTCCGAGAAGTCCTTTACTCTGCGTGCCAGTTATTCTAGAGTGATGTGGTCAAAGGATGTCATCTGGGCCGTGTTCCCGGGTTTAGATGGAGATGCTGTTCTCGATGACAGGAGGGTCCAGGTAGGTGTAGGGCAGTGCCAGGCCCCGGTTCCGCTCCTGGATCTCCCTTGAGATCTGGGCCAGGCGGTTCTGGAAGGTGGTGATACTCTACCATGGGGCCTCCTCAATGAAGTGCTCATCTGGGTAGGTGCCCAGGGGCCTCTGGGGACCGACCACAAGCTTGGGTGAGGGGGCTGCTGAGGTCTTGCCTCCCAGACTCCCTGTCCCCACCCTCTGAGCACCTGCAACTTGCCTTAGCCAGCTGTGGCCCTAGTACCCCACCCTGGGACCTGAAGCAGTCCTTGATGGGGCCCGATCCATGTCCCTCCTCTTAAACAGATACCCACGTAAAGCTGATCTGCAGGAAGCTTTCAGGGAATGAAAGCTGAATTTGGAATTTGCAAGGAGCACAATGACACATTGCCCTTGCCACTGAGAGTGGCTCTGGATCATCACATTTGGCTGTTGGACCTTCACTGTGGGATGTCCAAGGCTCATGTGTCCCACTGGAGGGGCAGTGGGGTAAAGGGAACCACTACCTGATGGCAGAGTTGGGTCTGGGCCAGGAGGGTAAACACCACACCCTCCCTTACCCCAGTTCGGCCCGGCCTGCCCCTCAACCCCACACTCACTCGGTCTCCAGGCTCCTTGCTCAGCAACCAGAGAGCAAGGATGACATCACATGTGGCATTGACAGGTGGGAGGGTGTCGACGAAGCTCTCAGGTGTTGCCTGGCTTTTGGAGGTGGGTGGTGGCAGCTGCATGCTGGGTGGCAGGTTGGGCATCCAAGCACAGGAGTCAAACTGAAAGCCGAGAGGACAGAATGAGGCCAAGGAGCTGGGTCACCTCTAGTCCACACCCCAGGCGCTGGCTTTTCCTCACCTGCCCCGCACTGACAGCCGAGTGCCTGGCTGAGCAGGTGAATATCACCATCGTGACATACCGCACCAGGGCTTCCCGGGTCTCCAGGGAGGAGGGTATACCTGCGAGGAGAGCTGGGCTGGGATGGAGCTTCCAGGGGCCTGAAGACCCTGCCACGGAGGCTTGAGGGTGAGGCCTGAGGGCGGAGGTCCCCATACCTGAGTTCTCTCGGTTGAGGAAGCCCTTGGAGAAGATCTCTCTGACCCAGGCCTGGAGCTCTCTGTCATCTTGGACAGACTCATGGCTTGGGTAGTAGACACCGATGATTTCAGAGACAAAGCTGCAATGCACCCAGGTTCAGGCCCGGCCTCTAATCCCGACCCACTCTGAGGAATGCCCCTGCTTCGTGTCATTAATGTCTGGCCCTCCTCTTCAACATGAGCCTCCCTGGGCCTCAGTGTCCTTTCCAGTCTTCCCGCATCCCCGAGCCCTCAGCTCTCCAGGCACAGCCCCTCACCGTTCCACTGCACCCCAGATCTGCATGCCATCATCACGGTAGTAGCAGCCTGGGATGTCTTCAACTCCTCGGGCCCGGATATCCACAGGCAGACACAGGGCGGAATAGTTTAGCTGCTTCATGCTCCTCTGTATCAACTCAGAGAAGCCTCCAATGCCGAGGCCTGTGGACTGACAGACAGGACTCTTGGGTCCTACAGACCATGCTCCAGAAGCAGGAGGTAGCACTGGTGTGGGGGAGATGGGTCACTCCCACCCCAGGATCCCAGATTCCTCACATTGAAAGAGCAGCCTGTCCACTCCCTCCCCAACACAGCTCTCACCCTGTCCACCACCTGCCCCGGCACGATGAGCAGCTCCCGAGCAAGCGTGTTGATGTGCAGGGTGTACCGGGTATGTGGGACCAACAGCTGTGTGGCAGGAACGGCAGAGCTGGGGGAGGCCTGGCTCTTTCTGGCCCCAGAACTTCCAGCCCTTCAAGTCACTAGGAAAGAGTCAATGCCTACAAGAGGAGGCAGCCTGGGACAGGGGTCTGAGCCCTGGAGTTTCTGCTGGGTGCCACCAGCAGCTTGTGCTGGGAGCTCAGGCGCGCTCCTTCTTCTCCCTGAGCCTCAGGTTATTTTGTCAAATGCGAGTGCTGATGTGGCTGAGCCCTGTGCCTTCTGGCTCTGGCATCCTGTGATTTCCTAACCCCCGGGGCAGGCAAAGCTCTAGGAAAAGCAGGGCCTGTGGGCCTGGCAATGTGGAGCTGTCCACCAGAGCCCACCTCTGAGCGCCAGGCCCCGGGAGCTGCAGTTAGAAAGAACAAGCCAGGACAGAAGAGCACAGAGCAGCGTTCACATCCGGAACCCAGGAGACGTCTAGAAGGATCAGAGAATCTGAGTGGCTGCGGGTGGACCCTATGGGGGGAAGTCCTGCCCTTCACAGAGAAGGTGCCTCGAATCTGAGCTGTCTGAAAGCTAGCAGGGTCTAGAAAACCAACAGAACCCACCCGAGAGCACAGGGGCCTACCCCTCCACCAGCCCTCCCCTATCCCAGGACTATCTGTAGAAAACCTTTCGGTCTCTCACAGCCATATTCACACTTCGGCACCTGCTAGCCCTGGGTTCTTTCCTTCCTAAGATCTGGGCTTCTATGATAGCTGCTGATGCTGTCTGATCTCCCTTAAGAAGGGAGTCTCAGCTGGGCGAAGTGGCTCATGTCTGTAATCCCAGTACTTTGGGAGGCGGAGGCGGGTGGATCACGAGGTCAGGAGTTAAGAGATCAGCCTGGCCAAAATGGTGAAACCCCGTCTCTACTAAAAATACAAAAATTAGCTGGGCATGGTGGTGCACGTCTGTAATCCCAGCTACTTGGGAGGCTAAAGCATGAGAATCGCTTGGACCCGGGAGGCAGAAGTTGCACTCCAGCCTGGGCAACAGAGTGAGACTCTGTCTCAAAAAAAAGGAAGGAGGCCTCTTGGGGTACCACATTCATCTTACTCAGGGTCTGCTGGAGAGCAGGCTCCCGGGGAAGTTGTGCCGGGAGATGCTGCTGAAGCGGACAGGGCTCCGCATCCCCGCTTACGTGGATAGGGCCGTGTGAGGAAAGGCTGCTTAGAAGAGGCACAGAGGGCCTGGGCACAGTCTGGGCCACCTTGTCAAGCTGCTGACCTTGAAGAGACGGTGGCAGTGGGGCAGCTGGCGCAGGGTGGCCAGGGTGAAGACCTCGGACAGCAGGTGCGAGTGCAGCAGGTGTGTGAGGGCCTCATGGAAGGAGAACTTGGCATTTCGCACCCAAGTCTTGGCCAGCAACCAGTCCCACTCGTCATCACTGGGCAGGAAGATGGGGCTGTTGGGGCCAGGGGTCTGGCTGAGCTTGGGGGAGGCAGGTAGGGAGAGAGGCAGCTGTGAGCATCTGCCAACCATTCAGTCTGACCCTCCCCGCCCCTGCCCTGCCCCTGCCTGGCTGCAGACCTGGATGGCGAGAGGCAGTAGGGGCCCACCACATGGGCGCTGGTATAGCGGGGTCATTGGGGCCGCAGAGAACTGAGGCTGCCCATTAATGACATTGGTATGCATGTTGGAGAGGATGCCGTGATCCACCAAGAACAGGGAGCCCTTCTGCAGAAGAAAGAAGAACTGGGGCTACTACCTGGTTTTCTAAAGGAAGGGGGTGGGGTGGTAGAGGGAGAGGATTCAGGGCTGGGAGAGGAGTGTGTTTCAGGAGAGAGTGTGCTAGGCACACAGCACACAGTAGGTCCCCTCCCTCTCCAGCAGGGGATGGGTGTGAAGGCACTGAGATGGGCTGTGCAGAGCCTGGATCCCTGCACCCCTCACCTCCAGCTCAGCCTGCAGGCTGGTCCCTGGGCCCAACACTGAAGCCACCATAGCATCAGTGACGGGGAAGTTTTTTGGGAGGCAGTGACAGCAGCGGATCAGGACGGGGTTGAGACCATTCAGGAACTGGGAGGCGAAGAAAGCATCCTCCTGCCAGTGCTGAAAAGTGTACTCTGCGGGGGTGGGGACACAGGGATTGGGTCATCCCAGCTCCCACAGGTCTCCACCTAACCGTCACGGTGGGTTCTCAGGGTTACTGCCCCGTCCTGTCTTCAGCCACTGCCTCTTTATCCAACAGTAAACCATAGTCCCCAGACTATCCATCCCAGTGTCTGCTGGACAGCCGCCCTGAGTAACTCACTAGTCTCCAATGCAACATGTTTGAGACCAAATAAAGACTTCCTATAGCTCAGGTCGGTCCCATTGCCTGATATTTGGGAAGAGGCAGCTCCATCCACCCAGCTGCCTACAGAGGAGGCTGGGGACCACTCTTTTTCTTCTATTTTTCCCTCTTTCTTTCTTTCTTTCTTTCTTTTTTTTGAGACAGAGTCTCGTTCTGTAGCCCAGGCTGGAGTCCAGTGGTGTGACCTTGGCTCACTGCAAACTCTACCTCCTGGGTTCAAGTGATCCTCCTGCCTCAGCCTCCTGAGTAGCTGGGATTATAGGCACAAACAAGCATGTCTGGCTAATTTTTGTATTTTTGGTAGAGATGGGGTTTTGTCATGTTGCTCAGGCTGGTGTCAAACTCCTGGGCTCAAGTGATCCGCCTGCCTCGGCTTCCTCCGGCTCTCCTTCTCTCTCTTCCTTTCTTCCCTCCCTCCTTCCCTCCCTCCCTTCCTTCCTGCTTTCCTTCCTCCCTCCCTCCCTCCCTCCCTCCATCCCTTCCTTCCTTCCTGCTTTCCTTCCTCCCTCCCTCCCTCCCTCCCTCCATCCCTTCCTTCCTTCCTTCCTGACAGGGTCTCACTCTCTTGCCCAGGCTGGAGTGCAGTGGGGCTAACTCAGCTCACTGCAACCTCCGTCTCCCAGGCTTAAGCAATTCTCATGCCTCAGCCTCCTGAGTAGCTGGGACTACAGGTGTGTGCCACCACATCTGGCTAAGTTTTGTATTTTTAGAAGAGATGGAGTTTTGCCATGTTGGCCAGCCTGGTCTCAAACTCCTGACTTCAAGTAATCCACTTACCTTGGCCTTCCAAAGTGCTGGGATCACAGGTGTGAACCACCATGCCCAGCCGGAGCCTGGGGACCTCTCTTGGCAGCACCCCCCACATGTCAAATCCCACTGATTCTTCATCCTGACTCCCTCTCAGTCCACGCATCCACTCTACTGCATTGCCACTGCCTTGCTGAGGCCACCATCCTCTGGCGACTATAGCCAGAGCCTCAGAGCAGATTCTCATAGCCTCTTGTCCCCTAATAACTCACCCCCAGCAGTGTATAGTGACCGTACTATTCCCCTGGTATCAACCAATCAATCAAGACCCAAGTCCTGCCGTGTCTGACACGTCCTGTGTGAGCCCCGTGTCCCTTCCCGCTCCTTCTCACACCTTTTCTCTTGCTCATTATGCTTTGACCACAGTGGTGTTTTCTTCCCTCCAAAGGTAGCTGATCCTTTGGTCTTCAGCGCCTTTGCACTCTCTGTTCCCCAAACTATTTTCTGCCCCACAGCCCATCCTTGGCACTGTGAAGGCCTACTCAGTTTCCAGGTCTCAGCATAGTTTACCCTCGTGGGAGAGCTTACCTGGGGCCCTCTCCAGGGTAGGGCAGGTGCCCTCTTTACAGAGTCACTGGATCCAATGAGCATATTTCACAGTGAAACGAATTATTTGATTTTGAGTCTAATTAATACCAACTGTCCTACTCGACTGTGAGCCCCAGGAAGAACTGGGTAGCGCCTCACCCGGTGTCAACAAATGACTGTTGGATTAGAAGGCATTAGAAGGTCAGGGATCCCCTCCATCCACATTCTCTTTTGTCTCTGTGGGGAAAAGTAAGGTCTAGCAAGGGCCTGCTCAGGGTTACTTAGGAAATTGCTGCTTGGTTTTCTGAGACTCCAGAGAGCCACAGGAGTTGATGTCACAGGAAAGAGGTCAGGATCCCCTACCCAAGCTCCTCACCGGCTGCTGAGGTCTTCCGGAAGTGGAAGATCCTTTTCATCTCATTCAGACTCCTCCAGGGCCCCTTGCGGTCCAGCAGCCCCTTGATCTTCATCTCTACAAACCTGCCAGAGGATGTGAGGGGTGGGGAGTGGGCAGGAGGCCCTGGGAGACCCTTCCCTGTCAGCCAGCCTTATGCCTCTTGGGATCTTGAACCAGCCTCCAGGCCCGAAGTAGTCACCACCCCTAAGGGGGCTGTTGCCCTGTGGGATTGGTAGTGGGTAGGAGGCTGTTTCCTGGGTAGGAATATGTGACTCATATCACAGTGGGTGGGGGAACTGACTAGGGGAGGGCAGAAGGCAGGATCATCGGGCATCTGAGGCCCAGGGGCAGGGCAAGGTGGGTATCCTCACGCAGAGCCACCCTGTAGATAAAAGTTGGCATTCTTGGCTGTGGAGTATTTGATGTTGAGGTCCAAGTCTTTCACACTCTTTTCATCTAAGCAGTGAGGCCAGCCTGGGTTGTAAGCCTTCCACCTGGTGGGTAGAGAGGGAACAGGGTCAGCAAGAGGCCTCAGGGAGCCCCTTCACTAGGGCAGATGGAATGGCAGGCCCCTCGGGGGCCTTGCTCACAGCCAGACTCCTTCAGCCAACGAGGGCCCTCCTAGGATCTGCCCTTCCATTCTACCCTTGAGGCTGCAAGAGAGCTGCCATTTTCCCACAGTGAGATGGCTCCCCTGGTCAAGTGTGATTGGTCCAGAGTTGAGCACCTGCCTAGCACTGGGCCAATCAGAGTCCTTTCCAAGGAATTTGAGACTGGGGCTGAGGTGGTCTCTCTCTGATTATGTAGATTATAGCAGTAAACACAGAGACTGTTAGCCATGACCATTTTCCTCTGGGTGGACAATTCTTGCCTGTGCTTCTGTAAGTGGCTCTGTGTCTGGCTGATAAACTCTTTTATTCTGCCTGCTAGTTGGAGTTGGTTTTTGTTCTTGCAACTAGAGAAGTCCTGACTAACCTAACGCAGCTGCATCTTGTAGAGGGGAGACTATTCTAAGGCAGGGTCTGCACAGAAGATTTCAGTTGTCTTTGGTATGCATCCCATACAGAGCCTCCACAGTTTAGGGGGAGCCGCAGTATTTTATTCTGCCCTGGCCTAAGGCATCTCTAAGTTCTATTCTCAAGCAACACAGCTGAAGACTTTCTGGCGAAATGGTAAGATCACATCTCTGCAAACTTGAGGACCCCTAGCCAGCCCTCCTCTCACTCATTCATTCTTTGATTCATTCAACATTTGCTTCCAGGTTTGAGCTTTCAACTTCAAAGAAAAATTTGCAGTTAAAGTACACTGCCACCAGGTGGTGGCCAAACCCCGCTTCTCAGACTTTAATCCCTCTCACCTAGGGATGTTGGTTACATGCAGATTCTGATTTCTAACAAACTCCCATGGCCGGGCGCGGGGGCTCAAGCCTGTAATCCCAGCACTTTGGGAGGCCGAGGCGGGTGGATCACAAGGTCAAGAGATCGAGACCATCCTGGTCAACACGGTGAAACCCCGTCTCTACTAAAAATACAAAAAATGAGCTGGGCATGGTGGTGCGTGCCTGTAATCCCAGCTACTCAGGAGGCTGAGGCAGGAGAATTGCCTGAACCCAGGAGGCGGAGGTTGCAGTGAGCCGAGATCGCGCCATTGCACTCCAGCCTGGGTAACAAGAGCGAAACTCCGTCTCAAAAAAAAAAAAAAACAAACAAACAAGCTCCCAGGCAATGCTGTTGCTATGGATCTGAGACCTCACCGTACGCATTATAAGAGCCTAGAGAGTTGGAACAGAGTTAACTGAGAGACAGGAACAGCAACAGCACGCATTTGTGCAAGGCTTGGCAGCTGCCTAGCTACATTCTTAACCATTTCTCATCTGTTCCTCCTTCTAACCCAAACGAGATTGGTCTTCTTAGTTTCTTTTACAGAAGAAAATAAGAATCGCAGAGATGAAATGATTGGTCTAAGATCTCACAGCTCGTTTTGGCAGGGCCTAGGCTGACCTTGGTCTCCATGGACACAGTAGACCTCAATGTCTATTCCCTCTCTTGGGGCTGTTGCTGGCAGATTTGGTGCCATGGCTTTCTTACGGGTGGAATTCATGACACATGGAGAACCCCCAAGAGCCAAATGAGCCTATGGCTGCGCTGATCTCAGAGACCAGGAGCAAAAGCCTGCAACCTGGACTTTAGACAGCAGCCGAGTTGGCCGGATCAAGATTTTTTGAAAATCTGCTCCCGAGTGCAGCTCCTGGCTTTGTGCCAGGAAATCCTCACTAGTGGCCCTGGCTCTTCTGCAGTCTCCAAGGCCCCGTTCTCTCCTATGACCTCCAATGCTGAGCCAACAGCACAGAAAAAGCCCCCATCTCACCCCTCACTAGCCCCTAGAGGATGAGTTTCCTGGGGCTTGAGAGGTGCATTTCTGGCTCTACCTAGATTTCTGGGAGGATATGATAAGCTGATGCATGAAAAAGTCCCGGGGCAAGGAAGATAGCAGCAAAGGTAAGGCATTTAGAGCAATTTTTCTTTTCTTTTCTCTTTTTTTTTTTTGAGGTGAAGTTTTGCTTTGTCGCACAGGCTGGAGTGCAATGGTGTGATCTCGGCTCACTGCAACCTCTGCCCTCCGAGTTTAAGCTCTTCTCATGCCTCAGCCTCCCAAATAGCTGGGATTACAGGTGCCTGCCACCACGCCCAGCTAATTTTGTATTTTTAGTAGAGATGGGGTTTCACCCTGTTGGCCAGGGTGCTCTTGAACTCCTGACCTCAGGTGATCCTCCTGGCCACCAGAGTCATCTGGAAGGCTTGTCAAAACAAAAATTACCGCTTTCCACCTCAGTGTCATAGCAAGTTGGGGGTGGCTCAGGAATTTGCATTTCTTTTTTTTTTTTTTTTTT